AAAGAGAGAGAGATAGAGAGACAGAGAAATAATACGCTACTAGTTTCCATGCGAATTGGGTACTCGATATAGTTTTTATGAAATTCCTCGAGAATTTTACAAAAATGGCAGATCGTTTTTATGAAATTCCCAGAGAATTCTATTGACACTAGTTCTATGAAAATTCCAGAGCATTTCATAAAATTATTTACGAAATTTTCGCAGAATGTCATAGAAATGCCTCCAGGGCCTCGTGTGAAAGGAAATAGAGCGAAAGCGGATGCAAATTATCGAGAATTTCATAGAAATAATCTAGCGACCACGCGTAGATGTAATGATATGGATTCGCGGTTTCGTTTTATAGAATATATTAATATAATATTTAATATCAAGTATAAAGCGTATCCTCTTCAACTAAATGGTAACTCAAGGGTATCACTTTTTTCTGATATCGGGCCTCTTTTTCCTGACAGTGGGCCTTTTTTTCGACAGTGGTTCCATTTTTCTTGATAGTGCTCATTTTTTTTGACAGCGTTCGTCTTTTTTTGACAGTGTACGCTTTGTTTGACAGTGCACACGATGGTGCGCGGGTTGGGCTTGAATAAAGGGGTGATAGAGCGGACGGGTTGGGGGAAAGGGCGGAGGTAAGGCAAGCTTGCTCGATGAAAACAGCGGGGGGGTTTGGGGGGAGCGCAGTCCCTCCATTTTCAAACATAATGACTGTGAGACGTGAAATTCGGACCATGATCGCAGCCTCCCTTTCATTTGCAATTACGATGTCGCTATGAAAGGGGTCGACGTGAAATTCTGACGATGGAATGCTGTTTTTGAAGCAAGCTCGCCCCGTGTCCGTGATGTCCACGCCAGATTTGGCGCTGTGCCACTATTTTTGCAGATATGATATCACTATGAAAATCTTTGACATGCAATTCTGACGATGGACTGATAATGATATTCCGTTACATACCTTGTACACATGAACTATAGTATATGAGTAGTAAGATCTATATGATAGACCTAAATATAGTCATATATACATGCATATATATATGCATATATTTTCATGCATATATTTATAATAGCTATATATATGTGCATATATATATTGATATTGTTGGTACATAAGAACGACAGCAGCAATGGCTTGCACATGATAGGAATCAGTGCGACAATATTTCAATTCTCCCGGGTAGCTCAAGAACTCCAAAGACGTAGATAAGACGGCATAAAAATTCAGGTGCGGGATGGTGACGTAGAGGCATGCCTGAGTTTGGAGGTATTTTTTTGGTAATGCCACTTGAGCTTTTCAAGCGGGATTTTCATGCAGATTGAAGATATCAATACCTGCAGAAATAAGGCTCTTTCACGATTGGAAACTACACAATCGTGGCCCAAACTAGCCCCATTTTTGTGTCAACCTAGGGATTTTTTTCAGACGCTGCGCGTGGCGCGCATTTGGTAGCGAAAAATCACCATAAACGTATTTTTCAAAAATTAACCATTTTTGCCGTAGCTCCGCAAAACCTAGATTTTCGTTCTGGAAATAGATGCGCCCCTCAAATACGAATTTGATATCTAAATCTATTAAAATACTATAGGGCCTGCGAAATTCGATATTAGAATTTAGTTATTTCCCAAGGCATTATAAGGGGTTGCGTTCCAATTACGTATCATTTTTTATAAATTATATGACCGTTTGGGCCCTACGCCTGCGCGCTTAAAGACGAAATCCGAACTCAAAAAAATTCTATAAAACGATTTTCTAAATATCCCCTCGCCACCTTCTATCTGGCCCATAGAGCATAAGGAGCAGGGGGAATATAACATAAGAAAAAATCGGACTATCATAAAATTGGCACCAATCTCCAGCATGAAGTAGAAAGTGGAAATAAGGCTCAGGTCTCCCCCGCCTTCCAATTGGCGACCCATAGAATCTAAAAATAAAGGGCAAGATAAAGCAAATTCGAATTAGTAGCAAAATAGAAATCTACAATATTAAATCAAGAAAAATCAAGCATAAAAAAGATTCCACGTATATAAGAAAAATCATATCGACGATAAGAAAAATATAGAAATCAATAGAAATATGAATATTTTTAACATTAAATAGAAAATCCTCAATAAAAAATCAATATCAAGTCCCAGTATTAATAAGACTCGTCTCGTTAGTCAATCATACTAATTATAGTTTAATAGAAATCAATATAATAATATTAGTGATACTCGTAGTCGTACTACTAACGTAATAGAATATATAGAAAAAGAAAAATAGAAGGCGAATAATGAATAGTAGATAATCAGGATTTATTTTTTCTAAATTAAAAAAAAAAATTCTATTAAAAACGAAAAAATTTTCATATCGTACCGCAACGTGACCTATATGAAGAAAGTCGTTAAAAAAAAGCACTCCGACGCAATGTTGCTAGCACGTAGGCAAGCTATCTTAAAACCCGTAAAACCGTCTCCATGCAAAAGCAAAACGATATCAGAATAGAGATTGGTGCTATCAGAAAAGAGCGAACCGGTCCAAGAAAAGATATACCTATTATCGGAAAAATAGTATCTATTCTTAGAAAGAAGGATATCGAATCAAAGACTTGCTCCCGCTGGGCTACCTAGAATATAGAACCACGACTGAAAAAAAGGCGCGCTATCAGAAAAAAGATGAACGATATTGTGAAAAAGGGATCCCACAAATCAATTCGAAACTTAGTATTACAGATACGAATACTAAAATTCATAATCCCTTTATGAATATTCTATAAATACCTTAATCCAAATATTTATCGATATCCATATATAGTCTGGCAGGCTCAAGTTGCAGCCATTCATGAGCCATGATATTGAAGCAGTGATTTTGAATAATCTCGCTCGGGAAGTAATGCCCTGCTGCTTGGCAGCTTGGGCAGGAAAAACACCCTATTGTGGCATCCATTCAGACGCGAATGACATCATCATCATGTCTGGCAGCAGTATCAGGGAGCTTTTGTTGTCATGACCGTGTCATCTGCTGGCAACCATAAGGATACCGTAAGGGCTGGGCCTTGCGTTGTCACAGTCGGTTCCAAGCGACGCTGCGGTGACCAAGCCTGCGAGAACTTCCGAGGTACGGACTGAGCTACCGGTCTCATGCTCCTACCCCTGAGCCATTGGCCCAATTGCTGTTGGACCGCGCCAAGCCTCCGTTGCAGCAAGAGGGAAAGGTTGCTGACGAGAGATGCTTATGCTGCTGACTGACGTCTACCATACAGCAGAGTCTACCATGCAGCAGAGTGAAATCCTGCCCGCGATTCTCTCACCTAGGAGGGTTCCCCAGCAAAAGGCAGCCAGTCAGACCATGTGTGACTCTGCACCTGTGCATGAGTTCCGACCATGGGTCACCACGTACGCTTAAGTCCAGACTTGAACCTCCGAACGCTGATGCTTCAAACAGAGACCGAAGACGATTCCCTCGCCTCGCCGCAAAGGCGAATCAAGCGGCGACTTTTCTGCTGATGGCGCCGTCGAGTCTGACGGCAGTATCATAGGGCTTTTGTTGTTCTCCGTGTCATGTGCTGGCAACCGTAAAATCGGACTCGTAAGGGCGAGGCCTTGTGTTGTCAGAGCAGGTTCCGATGGTGACCAAGCCTGAAGAACTTCTCGGACCAGCGACACATACCTTCCGACGCGCCCCGGGCTCATGCTCCTACCCCTGAGCCATTGGCCCAATTGCTGTTGGACCGCGCCAAGCCTCCGTTGCAGCGAGAGGAAAAGGTTGCTGACGAGAGATGCTTATGCTGCTGACTGACGTTCTTCCATGCAGCTGATGTGAAATTCTGCCCACGGTTCTCTCGCCTAGGAGAGTTCCCCAGGAAAAAAAAAAAAACAAACGTGCAGCGAGTCAGGCCATGTGAGATACTGGTGGACCGAAGACGACTCCCTCGCCTCGACGCAAAGGCGAATCAAGCGGCGACGTTTCTGCTGATGGCGCTGCTGTGCTGGGCCTGATAAGATCTGGGCAAGTCGGTCAAGCACGGCAAGGGGTGAAGTTGGGAGCACAATAAGCTAAACCCTAAACCGAAAAGCCGTAAAAATCTGTCACGTGGCCTTGAACGAGACTGCGCCCGACTCCGGCGTTCCTCCAGTCTTCGCAGCATTCGCCGGGCCTGGCGGTCAAGTCGGCATGGTTCATGCGATCATATCATGCAAGAATGCAATACTGTAGGTTACTATACTATACTATTCAACTCTGTGCTGTACTGTTCAAGTCACTTCTAGATTCTATACTATACTAGACCATACTATATTACTATGCCATACCAGACTATGCCATACTAGACTATGCTAGACTAGACTAAACTGTAGTATACCATACTATACCGTACTGTACCATACTTTGCGATACTATACTGTACCATGCTATACTGTGCTATTCTGTGCTTTGTTGCGCTTGACTATGCTTCACTATACCTGATTATACTTTATTGCACTACATGTTACTCTACAAGACTTTACTTGGATCTACTGTACTGCACTATACTTCCTATAGTATACTATAACATGATGTGGCTCGTAGGATGGACTCTCCTTCTCCAAGACACTGACGAACGGTGCGTTCCTTTTGAAAATGACTACCACTGAACTGAGCTCTCACGGGCTGCGAAGCCGTGAACCAGGAGGAAAGCTCTTTGTCAACAGCGGAAACGGCCTGCTGTTCCTCCTCCTCTTCCGCGTTGCGATAGAAGGACCTGCAGGATTGCTGCTGCTTCGAGTCGGAGTATGTGTTTCCAACTTGATTTGCAAAAGAACTGCAGCAAGGAGTGGCTACAGTCCAAGGTTGAGCACCCAGTCTGAGGTTGAGCGCTCAGTGTCTTTATTTTTGTTGCAGACGGAGCGCCTCACCAGCGATTCTCCCTCACTTCGATAGCGTCTTACCTGCTCATTGGCACTCACGCGGAGCGGGAATGGCTAATGTGGCTGGTGCATGGAGAGACCTCCGCAGCTGCAGGTGTCTTGAAGCTCTTGGAGGCCTCCTTGACAGCCTGCGTGGGGGTGTAGCAAGGAGAATGATGGGAAGAGCGTGCACTGTATCAGTGACCCCATGATCTATGTCACCATGGTGTGATAAGCAAATGAATTTAGGGAGGAAGCGCAGCCCGACGGACCGATCCCCCATTCTCGCCCAGCGAGTTTGGGAACCACGAGAACGAGCAGGTGAGCTGTGGTCTAAATCCAAACGAGCTTCTTACACAAACCAACGTCTCCCGTCCTGCAATTCACGCATGCTTTCTTTGTGCCACGCATGGCCACACTCGCAGTGTCTCCGGACAATCTTCTCAACACTGCGAGCTGGAGGAAGAGCTTGCGGACGGTACCCTGTGGGCGTCCCGGTACGTGACTCTTTCACGTGCCTGAACAGGGCTTCCGGATCCACTGGGCTCTGTGCTTTCAGATGCACTTTGGAATTCAGCCAAGTTTTAAAAGTCCACCGACCGTCTTCCAGTGATGTGCAGGCGAAGGTGTGGTCAGCAAGCAAGTAGGAATCTGCACAAAGTTAGAGTTCTTTTGCCGCCAGTCTTAGATACACTCATGACTCATGGCACACACACACACCACCCCACACAGGCCCGCGCACACATCATTGGCCTTCCAAGCAAGAGCGTTTTGCTTCCACAGCAGCGCTGTGACGCTGTCGCGAGATCTTTGTCGAAGAAGGCGGCCAAACAGTAGCGTCAATCTCCGTGGGACAGTATACGAGTCTACTGTGTGGCCACCAACTCGCCGCGACCTGAATGGAAGCTAAGGACTCTGAAGCCCTTGGTGCAACGGTTCTGCTGGCTGATGTTTAAGCTCTAAACTCGTAGGACTCATGTGTGCAGAAAGAGCTGAACTTTCCAGCAGAACTTAAAGATGGCTCGGCTACTATTTACACTAATGCCCTAAGCGTCATGCGTGTGATGCGCAATTCGTGACGGTCATCGCGGCTCAAAGCTTCGCGGCACCTCGCATGAGTCTTGCTAGAAAGGAGAAGGGTTCCCCTCAGCAACAGTCTTTACCTACATCCTGCATGGACGTTTTGTGCACAAGCGACTCTACCGTGGCAGGGTAAGACATGCTGCATGACTGCCCCTGGCTTGGCCTGCGTTACCTTTGATGCGATGGTCAGCTTCCTCAACCTCCACGTATACATTCAGTCGTGTGCAGCGGCTTGTTATTATTCTTCTAGCACCCTGCCCGCGAAGTTCCTGAAGTTCGCAGCATGATCCTACAACGCCTCGTCGCATCTGCCTTGCAGCGGCGGAGACTCGCCTTAGAGCGCTCTTGCGCTCCTGCGATCGGATGCACAACGGAGGCGAACACCGAAGGAGTGTGGAGAGTCTGGACTGGACTGGCCGACGTTGACTGGAGTCTGAAGCGACAGCTTTGAGTATGCACAGGCCAGGCCTGCAACGCATTATTCCCGTAGAACCCAGGATAAGCCTGGCGCCGACGAAGCTTCAATCACGCATCAGAGTCTCATTGGCCGTATTGTGAAGCTAGTCTTCATGCTCCATGTCTCTCGGCGATACTTCGGCGATTGCAACTGCTGCCATCGCTGCTGCTTCCATGCCGCACACTGTGCCTAGCTACCTGTACTTCTCCTGGTTGAACTGCAGAGACTCGCCCTTTGCTCTCTCCTCTCGCCACATACAATTCGTCACCGAGCAAAGATGGCTTGCAGCGACGGTGGACACCACTGACCACTGAAATGAAGTTGGCCTAACAGGGAGCTTGTCTCAGGATAGATAAAGGGCAAACGACCTGCTGTACCCAACAACGTCCAATAACCATGACAGATGCGCAGCGGCAAGCGAGAGCCAAAGCGCTTCGGCCTCCTCAATTCACACTCCAAACGAACATTTCACAACGTCTCAGAACCGCCAGCAGCTTTCGACCCCGAGCTCTCCTCCTCACCGGGAGCTTCTTCGAGGACCGCCTCAATGTGATCCCGGAGCTAGACAAGTAAGGAAATGAAACGTAGAGTGGTCGTACTCGTAGGCACATCATGCCAAGCATGGCTTGCGTGGGTGGATCGTGAGTCGGGCATTTGCTGCCCCGACATAAATTGAGTTTCGGCCGGGTGAAAGCTCCAGCTGTAGTAGCTGGAATTGTCGCCTCCAGTGCAGCTTTGCTCAGGCGGTGACAGTCAACGGAACCTCGATTTCCTGCAGTATGCATCTGCAGCACAGCACCGCAGGACAAGCCAAGGAGCAATGCTACTGGACCGGAGAGGGCAAGCAGAAGCTAGAAGCCTTTCACTGCATCTCTGGAAACTCCCACATGCTGAAGCTGTGGTTGCTTTCAGGGTTTGTCCGCTGCTGGGCGCTTGCATTGCTATTCCAAGCTGTCCTCAGCGCGGCTCGGACCTTAGAAACTCTGCAGGTCACGAGAGTTTCCACTTCTGGGCTGGTTGCACATCGCCTTGTTGCTGCATGCGCTTCCGTGTTGTGACGATATGCTGCATGATTTCCGTCGCAACATACTATGCCACTCTGACCACTGTGACCACTGCGGACCGCGAGAGCAGTCGCTGCATGTTTTCTCCCGCTTCACATCAGAATCAATTCATCAGCTCCATAGAAGAGATCCAATTCTTCAGCTTTTGGTTGCTAGTAGTTTGCCATCTCGGGCCTCCTCTACCATCTCGAGAATCCGCGCAAGCGCTCGGTCGTAGTGCTTTGGATCCTGCTTTTCGATTCCATAGTCTGCAAGCCAGCGCCGCATTTTGATCTCCATAATCGCCTTCTCGTGGCAGAGTCGTAGGAAGATTCCCCAGTCGTTGATGTCCTTGAAAGTCTTGTAGACTTTGAAATCTGTTACGATGGGCTTCCTTGGATCATCCGAGATGTCGTCCTTCAAACCACTGGGAGCAGGATATGCTTCAACTGCCACATCGGCTGCTCCTTCGAAGTCAAGCACATTCTTAAAGATGTACTCGGACCGTGGGCAGTGGAACTCCGAGGTAACCAGGCACAGCTTCAGTTCCTGCCCAGGTGCCTCTTTCCTCATGATGGCCAATATGTTGCGCGCATTCTCAATCGTGTTCCAAGCAGATTCATCCAGAAGCAGCTTCTCCGGATCGATGATATGCGGCGATGCTACGAGAAGGTTTCGCATGGCCTGTGCAGCAGAGCATGCATAGCCTTGCTGACACAAATCTTCCAGGGCTGTCCGCAGCCCTGCATTATGTTGGTGTGCAGCTTGCCTTTACAGTCTACACTGCTCATGAAGTCAACCTACCTTCGCTTGGCTTTGAATCGGCCTGTGCTTCAGAAGTGCCAACCTGACTGACATCAGCGCCGCTGAGAACGATGGGAGCGCCCCCAAGTGCTCGGTGCAGTTCAGCTGCAACAGCGACACGGTTGACCAAGGAGCTTGGTAGCGAGCCTGAGGTCTGGAACCAAAGGGTGGGGGAGTATGTTATACATATCAATATACATATACATATATGTGTGTGTTTTACACATTGTATTAGGTTATAGCATGTTATATCATATTAGCCATATATCATATCATATTAGATATATTATATATATGTATATATGTACATGTACATGTAAATGTATATGTATATGTATATATATACATATATATATATGTATATATATATATGGTACCCCCCCCCCCCCCAAAAAAAAAAAAAAACACCCCAACATATCCAAAAAGTCGGCGTGAGGCCACAAGTTACAGATATGAGGCCCCGTAGAAGCCCCCCACGCCAAAATATCCAAAAAGTCAGCGTGAAGCCAACAGTTGCCTATATGAGGCCCTGTATAAGGCCTGTGCTAGTGCACGGGGCCGAGGAACAACTTTGCGGACGAATCTTGGTTCCGAGGCCCAAGGGCGTGTTAGTTAACACGGGCCGTGTTAATTAACACGGCCCCCAGGAACCAAGAACCAAGAACCAAGATTCCTGGAAAACTTTCTGGGCCAATCTTGGTTCCCAGGCTTGGGCCCGAGCCCGTGTTAATTAACACGGGCCGTGTTAATTAACACGGCCCCCAGGAACCAAGAACCAAGAACCAAGATTCCTGAACAACTTTCTGGGCCAATCTTGGTTCCCGCGCTTGGGCCCATATTGACGATGAGGTCCAGGAACCAAGATTGGTCCAGAAAGTTTTCCAGGAATCTTGGTTCTTGGTTCTTGGTTCCTGGGGGCCATGTTAATTAACACGGCCCGTGTTAATTAACACGGCCTCGGGCCCAAGCTTGGGAACCAAGATTGGCCCAGAAAGTTTTCTAGGAATCTTGGTTCTTGGTTCTTGGTTCCTGGGGTCCGTGTTAATTAACACGGCCCGTGTTAATTAACACGGGCCCGAAAATGACGTCAATCTTCTCTAGTTGACATATGTTGAAATACTGATATCTCCAGCACAGGTTTGTGCTACCATCACATGAGCAGTCAGCTGCCACTGGCCCGAATATGACGTCAATCTTCTGTAGTTGAAATATCTTGAAATACTGATATCTCGAGCACAGGCTTATGCTACCATCACATGAGAAGTAAGCTGCCACTTGCGGGGAGGTGCAGTGGTAGACGAAGGTGGATGGCGGCATTGTGTTGTGGGCAGCCATCGCGACTTTCCAAAACGATCAGATGAGCAGTAAGCTGCCACTAGCGGGGAGGTGCAGTGGTAGACGAAGGTGGATGGCGGCATTGTGTTGTGGGCAGCCATCGCGACTTTCCAAAACAGTCAGATGAGCAGTAAGCTGCCACTAGCGGGGAGGTGCAGTGGTAGACGAAGGTGGATGGCGGCATTGTGTTGTGGGCAGCCATCGCGACTTTCCAAAACGATCAGATGAGCAGTAAGCTGCCACTAGCGGGGAGGTGCAGTGGTAGACGAAGGTGGATGGCAGCATTGTGTTGTGGGCAGCCATCGCGACTTTCCAAAACAATCAGATGAGCAGTAAGCTGCCACTAGCGGGGAGGTGCAGTGGTAGACGAAGGTGGATGGCGGCATTGTGTTGTGGGCAGCCATCGCGATCTTCATGAACTCATAGG